CTTTCAATTCACATGAACAATTCGTCTGAATATGTTCATCATAGTTGATCTGGAATTTGATCAATAACAAACATGAATATTGTTTATTGATCACATTTAAGTGCTTGTATACAATGTGAAATACACAAATACATCTTCAAGATACATGTGTATCTTTCCTTAATTTACATACAGCCCAATTATGCCCACTTCTGGCCGCTTTCCATGCATTTCCATGCATTTCTGCAGGGTGTAGTCAATTAAAAAAGATACCCATAAATAAATGTGCACAGAAAAGCAGTTAATTGAGCTAATTTATGGCGCCCATTAGACTGCCCAATTGGGCTGCCTATCTATATATATACAGATATATAGATATACATATATATATGCTTATATAAAGTTGTGCTCCATAAGTTTGTTGCCCATTGTCGGCATTTCCATTTAACGGTCCAAATATGCAAACAGCACAACAAACACAAACGCCGCAGACTGTGTCGAGTCTGTTGAGAGCTGACTGCTGACTGCTGACTGCTGCCTGCTGCTTATTGTTTGGCCTTGAAATCGAGCACTATCAGTCAACAGCAGAACACAACTGCATACAATGGACACAAAAAAGTGGTTGCCATAACTGAAATGCAAAAGTCGCAAATGAAACGCGCACTCGATTTGCGTTTTGCGATATGCGATTCACTTGCCCTGAGCCACCCAACCACCCAACCCAACCAACCCAACCAACCAACCACTATACGAGCGTCCAGCCCTCGATTCTAGTGAATTGTGCTCAACAACTATGCCAAGTTTGGTTCACAATTTGTTGACAATTGCGTTTCACACTTTGCATAATAATCAGGCGGTGCCCGCCACACAGAAATCTTCACAGTATACAGTGGGTCTCGAATGTATGCGCACGCATCCACAATCCACATTTTTCGTACAATATCTAGTAGATGCCTAGACAAATAAGTGTGATGTAAGTTATTGATATAGCCTGTTCTTGTCCAGCAATTACAGCTCTAACATATCTCATCGAATATGTATTTTTGGGGGAAGTTTACAGAGAATAAATCTGAATTCAAATCTGGTTCCTTGGCTCGCTATTCATGAGTGCATTTATTGGAAAAATAGCGACACTTGGCCATGTTCAACTTTTGCCCAACTGCTGCCAACTGGGCTAAAAAAATGAAAAAAAAAAAAGCTAAGAATATTTATGCGGAATTCTGTTCCACGAAATGAACGAACGAGCGATCAAAGAAATGATTCATGTTGTGAATGCGAATGAATATTTTGAAATCGATTCGAATAAAGTGTGTAAACCACACCTACCAATAGATTCATATGTATGTATATATATATATATATATATATATATATATATATATATATGTCCATATATATATCTATGTATATATATCGATCACGAACATTGCATTTGATTGCAAATTGCAAATTGTAATTGGGTTTGCAATTGTTGTAATTGCCTTTGCTTGTTGTTGTTGCTCGCTGTTGTTGTGTCTGAAAATTGAGTTGCAACAACAACAACAACAACAGCAAAAACGCGACATTAATTGCAAAATGCTCGTGTTGCTTTCATGTCGCTCCTCAAGTTAACTCGGACACCCTCCTCCATCCATTCATTCCAACAACTGACCCCACAACAGACACAACTGATAAATTGACAATGCACGACAAACAACAACAACAACAATAAAAACAACAACAACAACTCGAAAGTGTTGAGAAAGTTACGAAACTGCAATGATAAGACTGGAAAATTCAGCACGTGCATTGGCAAATGGGAAAAAAATGTTGACTGCATCGAACCAAAAAAAAAAAAAAACAGATAATATATATATATATATATATATATATATATATTATATACATTCTTTCGTTTGAATCACCAAATCGCAAAATGAGTAATGCCTGCGAAATGTCGCTGAGCAGCTGAAGGGGCAAATTTAGGCCAAGAAAAACATCGGATTTAGTGACGAAAAAAAAAACATTGAACTTGTATACCCTACTAAGCATGGGCAAAAAGGGTATAATGCTTTTGTGTAACATGCAATTATACACATATTCGTGATCAGAATCATGTAGCCCGAGTATCTTGGAGACTATAGAATTTATAGTCTATAAGTTGTCGTACATCCCCGCATATAAAGTTTATTTCATTTGATCGATAACTGTTTGCGTCTCTCGTATATCGATTACCGATTAATATATATTATCCATGTGGACATATTGATCAATTTTACATATTACATAAACATCGAATAAGAAAAAGCCAATTTATAAACCAAAACGTATTCTCATATTCATCTCATTTCTCTCTCTCTCTCTCTCTCTCTCTGCTTACATTTGGGTGTGCAAAGCTTTTTAAAGGGAATCGGGAATCGACTACAGCCTTCTTCTTCTATTTATTTTTTAAAAATATATATTATCTCTAATCTAATCAGCAAATCAAAAATATTATGTCAGCTTTGTTTGCTCGCCGGCATTCAACAGAGTTATAAGCTTTATAAGTGGAGCACTGCAGACTGCAAACAAAAATGTGTGCATTAAGTATTCAAGTTTAAGAATTAATAAAGCCTTGACTAAACTTTCGATTAATGCAGCTAATAATAGATCAGTTTCAAACAACAAGCAGAATTCTTATAACCTTGCAGAGGCTTCTATAATTTTGTCATTTAGTTTGGAACATATCGTAGAAGAAGTTGATGACAACCCCCCGCAAAGCACATATATATATATATTCTTGATCAGCACAACTAGTTGACTTTCACATTGAGATGGCCCATCTCTGTCAGTCGGTTTCTATTCAGATTTAAACGCAACTTGATGAAACTTGGCATCGATACGCAGGCAGTACATATGCCTTGCTAAAGTCTATAACAACAGTTAATATTACTATAAGAAAATATATAATGCCTATATATATAATATAGAATGCAAAACTTGAATTGATTTGAATATGAGCCAAAGCATTTGCCACCTACTCAGGCATTTTTGAGCGTTTGTAAGCAACACAATGTGGCACAATTCACGCAGGCAACAAGAATAATATTAACAAAAGCAAAAATACAAATAAAAAATATAATGCCCATGAGTATTATTTATTTACAATTACGAGTATATGCATTTCGATTTATTGCTTATAAATGGGTCTTTACGAGAAGCGGAAGCAGTGCCGCAAAAAACAAAAGCATTTGGTGGACAAATCGTGACGAAATATGCACACATACACTTATATGAACACACTATGTATGTGTGTGTCTGTGTGTGTGTGTGTGTGTGGGTGTTGTGTGTATAAAATGCGTTTGTTTTTTTTGGGGGGGAGTGTGCGTGTGGTGTGGAGAGAGCTATATGTGAGAGATAGCGCTATATATGCGAATCCACCTCCCCGTGGGTGGGGGTGGGTGAGTGTGTGTTTTTTATTTTTTCGTTTTTGCTGGGGTTTCTTCAATTTCTTTTGATGTCAAAACAGAAGAAAAAGAACAAAATTAAAATAATAAAAAAAAATAAGAAAAATACAGTAGCAAATGTTTATAATTGCTTATCACAAGATATTGTGGCCATGTTTGTACATAGTCTGCGGTTGTGTTGTGTTTGTATAATCATGTGTGGGGCACTCGAATTCATGAGTGCTTAGTTGCTCAGTTGCTGAGTGCTGAGTGCTGACAAATACCTAACTCGACTTTGGACTGCGTCGACTTCCTTCTGGGTCATTCAAATGTTGTCCATACCTATAAAAAGAACCCACTTTAGGATAAAAATACGAAAAAAAAATATACAAATAAAAACAAAAATAAATATTTTTTTTTTTTTCATTTTCAACAAAATGAAATTGATACACGCCACACACATGCGTTGCGGCAACAGAACAGAATTATTGTTAAAAGTTCATAAAGTCGATCATAAAATACGACAACGACAACAACAACAACAACAAGAGTCATCATTTCGAAGAAGAAGTCAAACGACGAAGTTGAATTACCCTTAAACTGTATGGAGAAATGCATATCAAAAGGGTGATTTTTGTCTTTGTCTTGAGACCTTGAGACATAGCAACTTAAGTTATCAAAGTCGTAAAACAAAGCCTCAATTTATTGATTATTTTTGTGTTATTAATTATTTATTTAATAAATTATTAAATACAACTAAAAACTATTGCTAAAATAGCAATAAAGTTGCTCTGATCAAGATCGGATGTTTGATCCTTTGGACAAGGCAAACTGTCTGCCAGGTTGGTCATGCCCATTGAACACCACAAATGAGGGGACAGCAAATAACCACAGCTGAAAAGTCCCCTCCCCTCAACTCTCACCCAACCCTACCGTCCCGCCACCGTCACCGCCACGCCCCCTGTCGGATGAGTGTTTTTGACAAGCAGGCGACTGGGGACGGACAGTTGGCAGGTGTTGCCATTGGTCCCGAATCTATATATTTCCATAAAAGCGGCTATACAGTGTGTCACATAATACGATCCGACTGTCTGCCCCCCACACACACACACACACACAACCCCCCTCCTTGCCCCATGTTGCCGTTGTTTCAACTTACTGTTTTTATTAGTAATAACATTTTGAAAGCCTCAACATGTTCGTTAAATTAAAATTCATGCATTGAGTGCTATCCAAGTGCTGCGAGTACCTCGGCGGATATATGCGAAATGTGATACTTAAGGCTAGTGGGCGGGGCCGGGGCAGGAACAAAAATTGGGGGGTGGGGCTAATGGTTGGTGGTTGACAAATGATGCCAAGAGTGTGTTGGTGGCACGTATTAAATATCGAATTCAATAAAACTGATTGACACATGTCTCGAGTGTTGAGAGTGGCGCACAATTCACCTTCAACTGAACAGTTGCATGTGGCAAGTTGCATTTTGTTACTGTTGTTGTTGTGGTTGTTGTTATTTTTGTTTTTGGTAGCATCAAGAAAGTTTTTCCGCATTTTGGAGCGCATTTGTTTGTTGTTTTTGTTTTTAGATCATTGGGTTTTACCATACCATAAATTTTACAGCATGTCGCAGGAGCTAATAAAGAGCACAGTGGCCGCTGCAATGGAGGAGACGTCCAAAGTGGAGGTGATTGTGTACACCGCCAAGTCGGACAAGACGCTCAAACAGAACATGAATGCCAAGGATGAGACGCTGCGAAAGCGTACCTCATTAATAATAGTGCCACAGCAAGTGGATGACATAATTGATAACACAGCCAGCACTACTGTGCAGCTGAATCAGCAGCAGCAACACCAACAGCAACCAATGGAAGAGAAGCAGCAACAGCAGCAACAGCAACACGTTGAGCATGGCAATCGTAATTCGATAGCCAGCATGGATAGCTGCGTCTCGACAAACACCAGCCAGAGCAATCAGTCAAGTGGCAGCTCCGGTTCGAGCAGCAGCTCTGAGGATGCCCATGCCGCCTATCAGGATCTACAGAATGGCAATGCCGATCATGATGATGATGATCATCATCATCATCATCATCATCATCATCATCATCATTTGGCTGTCATGAATTCGCCCAGCTGCTCGACCACATCGGAGTCGACATCCTGCTGCAGCTCCGTCGATTACTCACTACGCGAACAACTGCAGAACTTTGCCAATCGCAACGAGGATCAACTGAAATGTGTCAATGACCTGCCAACTGCCGCACAATTGCTCAAGGGCATGCCATGTCTGGCGATGGATGAGCCGATCTGTGGTGCAGCACCACCATCAATGCAGCAACCACACTGCGATGCGCTGCTCAGTCCACAGGAGGCGCCGCTAGGTCGTCGTTATGCCGAGGTGGCACAGTTCAAAGGTCACGCCAAGGCGAGGTGAGTCCTGCGATAACAGTTCAGTTCAGTCCTGCGATAACAGTTCAGTTCAGTTCAGTTCAACAGCTGCAGTCTTCTTACAATATTATCATTTTGTATAGAGTCCTTCGACTCACTGTTTTTTAAAGGATGTTCCATTCTTTTAAATGAATTGAATTTAATTTAAATATTTTTGTTGACTTTTTATTATTTGAAACCTATTTTCTATATACATATCATCAACTTTTTAAAGAAGCCTTATATTTTGAGTTGGCTTCTCCCGCACTTTATTTATACATCAATATTTATATTTATAACGAATTACAATGAATTTCAGCACACACATTTTCAGTTTATCATCTAGCAATACCTCTTACTCACTTAATCAAACTTTAGTCGATAAGTTCAGTCTGTTATTAGATTAATACCACATTTTAGCATACTTTTTGATTGATTTTTTTCGTCTTAACAATTAGGTTTTTAATTGTTCATTGTAAACAATTCAATACCCTAACTTACCAGTGCTTTACTGTTTACTGTCCCGTCTTATTGATGTGAAACTTCTTTTTTTTAATCTAGTATCTGTCGCTTCATTAGAGCCATGTCTGGACGTATTTCTAATCAACCTTAGGCAACTTCCTACCACTTGGCTGTGACTACAGCATTTGTTATCTTTTAAATCAGTCTCGTCTGCCACCTATGTATTTTGTGGCATGTGACCCGCTCTCTCTCTCTCTCTCTCTCCCTCGCTACTCGACTCCTCCCCGTGGCTCGGTTCAGGATTCGAGCGCACTTTGTGTTAGGAACTGTATTGTTTCGTTACCCTCAAACATTCTTGAACTAAACGATGTCAAATGCTCACTCAACTTGAGCTGAGCAAACCACAAGTAGTCGATCCCCTTTTAACTAACTACCCACCACCCACTTTTCTCTCTCTGTGTATATATATATATATATATATATATATTTCACAACTCGTTTTATGGCCTGCAGTTGTTGTTGGGTTGTTTTTTGTGCACATCGCTTCCTTCGTCTTGTTGCACATGCATAATATACAACTTAATTAGTATTACTACTTTATAGCACTCTCGACGAAGACGATGCTGTTGAACAGCGTCCTGCTACTCCACCCATCGCTCACACACACACACACGCACACACAGACACACACAGAGCATCGCACAGCTCAAGCTCAACACACACAGTGCTGAAATCTAATAATGGCACATTCCAAACACGCTTCCCCATTGCCACATTACCATATCAAAAACGACTATGGCTTGGCTGCCCCACGGGCACAGACTATACCCCTTGTCTGCCACCACTGAGGCATAACTCAAAAATGCAACGGGTCTTACATATGCATGTGTGTGTCTCTCTCTGTGTGTGTGTGTGTGTACATACGAAGTGTGTTGCTTATGAAGTTTGAACGTTTTGAACTCGCCCTCTGTGAAAAGCTCTCTCGACACTCTCCGCAGCAACTCTACACAGGAGCGCTCTGCTGTACAGCAGGTCCCTGTCAAAGCGTACACTCACAAAAAAGAAATCGATCTGAAAATAAAAAAAAAATCGCGCTTAAAACTAGAAAGTTGTTCTCAATACTAAAAAAATAAAATCCCAAAAGTATGCTTGTTTTTTGTATTGTTCAAAAACATTTTCAATTATTAAGAAAAACAAATTTTTAGAAAAACTCCTTTCTAAAGTTTAGGAAAAGTAATGAAATTTACTGGCAAAGCTTTTGTATTCGAGTTTAGTTGTCGTCTGCCTCAGATTAGAGGCTCGATGGGAAGTTACTCAATCGATTCGCCTTAAAATCGTTAGTTATGTTTTCAAATAATCTATATTTATAAACTATCTAAAGTGATTGTATAAGTGAAATCTTAACACTTTATCTAGAGTTAGAGAGTGCTTTTGTGCACATATAAAATGAGAAAAAATAACGTGAAAATTGAGAAGAAATTAATAAATTCCAGGATAATTTATCGATAATTTTTCTGAGTGTTTGGAACTCTATGGATTAGTGCGCCACTCCAATCCGTTCATGTGTGCCCCATCGACAACAATGTTGAACTTTTTGAAAGCTGTCACAACTAATTTGCATAGATTCGGCACACACACACACCCACACACACCCATCAAATCGTAGCAGTAACCACCGGAACTTGTTGTTTTTGTTGTGCAACAACAGCAACAAAGCAACCGGGTCCTGACAACCCGCATAACTTTTCAATGTACTCGAATTGTTGCATATTTGTTTTTTGATGCCAGTGCATTGATTTTCCACTCCAACTCGAAATTTTCCTCTTTTTCTCTTTTATTTTGTCTATCGTTGTCCAACTCAATATTCATGGCGTGAAAAAGTTTTGCTTCTTGTTTTTTTACAATTCTGATTTTGAAGGGATGTGCTAGAATTTTGGCAATTATTTTGGCACAGAAAAGAAAGCAGTTTTAATGTGTAGTTAGTTGACCTGAACAAGGATCTCTCCGATATCCCAAGCAGAATGTGTTTTTGCAGTCCAGCCAAACTTGGGGGGCGGTTGAAGGTCGCTTCTCATTACGACATAGCCTAAGAAAACGTTGATTCATGTTTCATGTTTGTGGCAATCTGTGGCATCTTTGCAACACACTCATTTGTTATCCAGCTGACATATATTTATTTCGGGCAATGCCTTGATGTCTAGCCACTTTCTAGCCGTCATATCTTGGAAACTATGAGCTAACTTGCAGGTCTCCATTCGGTAGTCTCTTGACCTAGGCCCCAGCAGGCCCCACTAATTGGCCTAGTCCCAATGTTATGTAAATCCTCAAATCGCGCTCACCTTCAACCGCACCACCAAACCAAGCCCCACATTTGAACTTCATCCACTTTGGAGCGTTTTATCTTAATTGCCATGCGACGGCAATTTACATGCGGCGCCACAAAGTACGATACTCTCCACTTGGCGAACAGTCATGTTGAAGCGCTCGCAATATCCTTCAACTTTCTACATATACCCTGTAGTCATAAGAATGGCTAGCTGGCACATCTGACAATATGAGCACTTATTTTGTATCCTAAGGATTATAATCACTATCAAAAATAAGGCTCGCTTTTGATTCCATTCTAAATATAAATAGTCTTAATGTTTGGCTTACAAATACTTTCATATATTTTGCGTTCCTTAATACAGGGTATTTATTGGCGAAACAACCGCCATAATAATTTTGTATGTTGTTTTTTCATTATTGTTGACTCTCATATTTTGTTTTCCCTTCGAAAATGCTCGGAAATTTATGTGCATTTTAGTTGCTGTTGTTGTCGCTTCAAACAAATTGTTGTATACCCTTGCATAGGGTATATTGGTTTGCTTACTAAATAGAATATTTTATAAATAAGTATATCAACCAGTTAGAAGTAAGCAATATCAAACTGATTGTCCAAACCAATCCAAACCTTTGGTTCAAGTTCCATTTGCCAGCCATATCATCATTAAATGGAAGCGTATCCAATCGCGTCCACTTTGATAAGATAACTTTTCTATCTCATGACTTGCTTGTTTGTTTTTGTTGTTACTGGCGCATGTCCTTCAGCCTGCATAAATTTATAGAGCCTTGACTAATTCCTCTAAGTGTTTTATTATCCGTTGCGTGTTGTCGTTGTTTGTTTGCTGTTGTTTTTGTTGCCGTTGCCGTTGCTGTTGCTGTTGCTGTTGCTGCTTGTTTGTGTTAATTTGACATGATTATGTCAGAATGTTTGACAACTTGTCATATGGCGAAGAAAATGCTCTAGCTCAAGCATTGCTTGCAACTTTCTTTTTGACATGACACAGAACCAGCCACACTGTCACCCCACCTCCCTGCCTCCCTCAAGGCAGCCATCCAAGATATGGGCATCCGTCCGTGCTTTGACTGCCTGCGTCCTTGAGGCAGGCGCCACCCAACGGAAGCGGAAGCGGAAGCACATGCCAGGCCAAAGTTTCACTTCACTTCAGTATTGTTATTTTTTTCTTCTCTATTTTTTCATTCTGTTTGCTTTCTTTTGGGCCATTCTTGCGGCAAATTCATTAATAACATTTGTTCGGCAACATTTTGTTGCCCTCCCTTCTCTCTCCGTTCGTGTCGAGAAATATTGTTAAAATGGCGTAAAATTGCCAGCTTTTTCGGGGCGTCAGTTTGTGACACGCGTCATGGGCGTCCTTGCAGACACTTTGGCGGCAAGGCGTCTGCTAAAAAAAAAAGCCAAGCGAAAAAAATAATAGATGAGATGACAAAAAATGTGTCGCAAATTAACCTTTTGGCAGCTGAGCTTTGAGACGGGGCAAGTGTTGTTGATAAATGGTCGGGGCAAACAGGCAAGCAATGAAGAGTCGCCCTTCAAATACATTTCAAGCAATTTCCTATTTCCATACTAATATATTCTTTCTCTATCATTTTGCAGAACAAGTGAACAGCTGCCGTCTGCTGCTGTTGCTGGCGCTGCCACGCCCCTAACAGAGAAAACCGAGACGGCCGTCTCTGTAGTCAACAACAACAAGAGCAACAATAACAACAACAACAATAACAATAAGAACAGCAGCAGCAGCGGCAGCAATGCGCAACAGTCACAAAAATCTCAGCTGCAACCACAAATAAATCAACAGCAATCGAACAATAACAGCAACAAATTAAATGGCCAATCAAATCTCAGTACGAATATTAACAACAACAACAACAAGAACATGACGCCCAGCAGCAGTCAGCAATTGGATGCGAAAAATGGCGACAACAGCCGACGCAGCAGCAGCCTGGAACCGGATGCCGACGATGTCGTCGATCTGGCAAATGGCGGCGCCTTCGAGGACGACATGGAGGCCCTGCTGCCCAGATGCACGCGTCGCTCGAGAGATGAACTCAGTCAGGTCAGTTACTTTAATGACTTCTGTCCAAGTCAAGTCTGGGCAGCATCAAATTATGATAAAATTATGACAGTTACCATTTTGACTAGTTTATAAATAATATATGTATACATGTAGGACTAGGATTTATTTCCTGTTTAGTATTAATAGAATAGTTAAGTTCGACTTTATAAAACAACGACTTATTTCCTCGACGCAACGATAACTTTACAACTTTTGGGTACTTGCAACTTTGACGACTTCTGCACGAACTCGATTGATGCATATGCTACTCTTAGATCACTCCTAACAAAAAAAAAAAATATATATATATATATATAATCGAATATTTAAATGCATAAATTCCATTTTCAAGGAATTTATTATAAGCAGCAAACGCTTGTCACATTTTGGCTTAGCTTCAATCAAAATGAAAATGCTTAGTTGAATGCATTTGTAATGGATTTAATACTTGTTAGCTTAATGGCAGACCAAAGATTAGGTACTTATTATTATATAATTGGAAAACACTTAGCTGCTGACTGAGCAGCCAGGGTGGCATCGGTTTTTGGGCAACTGTTGAGCATATTGATGAGTCCGGTTTGTGTATTTGTCGCACTATTCATAATGGTTTGCCCAGTCCCCGATCCAGACGAACAGTAGGCAGTAGCCTGGGGGCAACCAACAGCAAAGCCGCATGGAATCAGGCTGTCTGTGTAGCACATTAAGTGGCAATTACGCAAGCTGCCAATGGGCCATCAGCAGCAGCAGCAGCAGTAGCAGCAGCAGCAGAAGCAGTAGCTGCTTTTGTCCTTTTGTATGTGGCACTCATTCATTCATAATTTGCTACGTGTTGCCATGCCACCCCATAATCATATTGCTGGCTGGCTGCTGGCTGGTGGCTGCCATAAACTGTGCATCAAATGATTCCCATTTCGACAGATATAAAAATTACAATACACGTTCTCTCTACTCTACTCAACTCACACGTTGTTTGTTCGTTTGTTGGTTGGTTGGTTGGTTCCCTTTGACATGTACCACGGCATACCGAATTCCCTTACTCATTTCCATTATGCCGTCATTATTTACATGCATTCGTGCGTGCTGCGTCTGTCTCCCTCCTGGCATTCTTCATTAATAACTGCGAATCCTTTTCATCATCATCATCATTATTATTAAAAGCGACTCTCCTTTCGAAATGGCCCGACAGGAAATTACAGCCAAGGCGTCGCCATCTAAATGAATAATGCGAAACACTTTACGCGTCGCACAAAACTCTTTTTGACAAGTCAATTTACTAGTTAATTTGATATGCCAACCCAACCCAGACCCAGACCCAGACCCACTGCCAGTACCAGTGCCAGTCGCAATGACAGTGCCAGTCCCAGCTCCACCCGGATAACTTCAACAAAACCCACAATCTACAAACCAAAAGTGCGTTCATCCATAAAGCGTGGCTGCATTCTTGACATGCTGTCTATAATTGTTTAATAATGCGTTAGACGGCAAGCATATTGTAGCTTTGTTGCAGTTCTTGCCAAATTGCATGCTCTGGCTCTGGCTCTGGTAACTGACAATAATCAACTCAGATTGCCATCTAGTCATTGTGGGCGTCATTCTCAAACTGCGTTGCTATGCTGCCAAATTGAATGCACTTTAAAATACAGAAAGTAGACAAATACATCATTTAACTACAGGTAAGAGCATATTGCTCCTTCTCTCATCAAATTGCTGATATTACGAATATTTCGAATATTTTAGATATGTTGTAGAAGTTTCTCAGCTTCTCAGCGTAGGCCTGTTCTTTCCAAATCTCTCAATTGCCACAAACTGGGAAACTGTTTGAAAAATGAAAACATAATAAAATATATCTTTTATATATATATATATTTTGATTATTGTTATGATTCTTGTTATGCCATTTGTTGGATTGTTTCTCGCAATTAACCTTTCTTAAGAAGGCCTCCTTGCTGCCAAATTGCTGCAAATCAGTTTGCAACGTTGCCAAATTTCATGCGCTGCAAGGTAGGCAGCACTTATGTGAAAAATAACTACCTTTTCCAAAGTTTCCAAGTTTTCCAAGGTTAGCATACTGTAGTAATGGAGCTTAGTCCCGATGGCCGTTGGCCAATTTCAAAGCCAAAAACCCAAATGAGAACTTACACACGCTATTAAGTTTGCATGTAGAACACATCTGCGTATGTCCTGTGTCCTGTGTCCTGTGTCGGATGGAGTGGGTGGCAGGAAGTGCACTCACTAAACCGAACTGGGCAACCACAAACGAGTGGGCTGTCTGGACCGCTTTGAATGCATACCCAACTCGAGACACATGTTCACATTTTAATTTGTGTTGCATTTCCTGTTGCATTTGGCTAACGGCAAACCGACAGTAGACTTACGACACACGACAGACGACAAACGACACACACAACATACACAGGACACAGAGAATGCGGCAGCTGCGGGGGCAAAGGAAAAACATCTTCGTTGTCTCGACAGAGGCATAAAATATTGATTTCAATGGGCTTCTGTTGACCAGTTGGTGTTGGTGTTGGTGTTGGTGTTGTGTGGCAGCTGTGACCAGCAATTTCCTCGACGCTTTTTGGCCATTTATGAATATTCAATAAAAAACAAGAGCAACAACAATTGTTGGGCGATAAAAGTGTCTGCTGTGAACTCCTGCTTTGGCCTGGCCACAGCCACAGATAGCTTCAAAGCAGCAGCAACAACAACAACAACAACAATAACAACATGCAACATATGAGCCGCTTGCTGCTGCTTTTGCTGTTGCATGCCCCACTGCCTGTTGTCTGGCAGTGGAAAGTTTTTATCGTCAGCCTGGCGATCAGTGGAGTTTGAGTTTTTGGGTTCGCTTCTGCTGCTGTTGCTGCTGCTGTTGCTGTGTGCTCAACTTTATTACTTTCATTATGCTTCAACCCTGCTGGCATTGCGCCCATGCCTTGCGGCAGCCCCGCCTCCCCATTCAGCCACGCCTCTAGCCAAAGTCCATAAACAACTTTCGAGTCTAATCTGCAGCCACGGGCCATGTCCATGTCCAGGTGCACGTGTACTAATTGCAGCGGTATTAGTGGCGCTTTGTCAGCGGCTTACAGTCAGGGCGCCCCCCCCCCCCCTTCTTCCTCCCCTCCCCTAGGCAACTACCTTATTTTTTTGGTCAGGTTTTAGTTGAGCTTGTCATGTCAGTCGTCCTGCACACGGGCTTTGAGAGTGACTCCTGGCATCCGTAATTTAATACCCTTGCCAAGGGTCTTATAATTTGGTCGCATTGAAGAAGACTTCTCCTTTATATATATATATATATATATATAGTGATCTATGTAAAACTTGTTGGTTTACTAAAATATTCGGGATAAACTCAGCTAGGAATACGGGGTTGGTTTCTTAAATTTTGAAATGAAATTTGGTCTCCAGTCCAGTCCAGTCTCCAAGGGTATGTGATCATCGGCGTGCCTAATTTGGCTGTTTTTATCTTTATTTTGTTGTTGGTTTTTTGGTTGTCCAGTCCCAATATGTTTGCTGATGCCAGCAGCACGATATGAAGCAGACGGGCAGCAGGACAACACCGCAGGATGCTTGTGACACAGCTTTAAAGTCGCTCTAATGAAGTGTGTGCCCCAAAAGCGAAGAATAAAAAGCTTGTGCTTGTGTTGGCTTTACCACAGCTTGAGCTCCATTTCCGTTACCATTTGCAAACTGCAAAGATGTCCACTCATATGTCGAGGTCAACTAACACTCCAAAATGGGGAGTGTTGTCCAGCATTAGTTGGCATCCTGTGCATCATGCGGCAGACAGACTTACGCTGACCGAACTGAAGCTACCAAATTGTTCAGCTCCTTGGCGAGCTTCGCACATCCTTGATGCGCCTAATGGCTGTGACTTTTTGACAGCTACGGCTATGTGTCCTGTGTGCCTGTGTGCCATATCCTGTGTCATGTGTCCTTTTCACATCCATACCCATAACCCCTGCCAGTCGAAGCGAAAACATTTGTCTGTGTCTCGGCATTGGCCACTTTTATGGCCGTAGATTTTATGTCCAGCTTATTACATGGCTTCGATGTTGATTGTATTTGCCTTTGATTCCGACATAAATGTCCTTATTTTCCTAGATTACTATTATATTAGTTTATTCCAAGGTTTGCCCGACTAACTTCACTAAAACGCTGCTCATAATTCATAAATTCGATTGCTGGCAAGCTTTGTTGCAACGTGTGTTTAATTTCCGAATTTCGTTGACAAACTTCATCAAAACGATTCGCGTTGCGTGTCCTTTTTTTTTTTTGAACAGTTTTGCATTGTTGCCAGACTTCAGCAAAGCGCTGTTAATTATGCATTCATAGTGCGACTGGCCACACAACAAATCGACAGCATGTCAACATCACGCTTCAATTAGCCAGTTCCAGCATCTCATTTGGGCCTCTACACACAGCTGCAACGGCTGCTGAAAGACAGACAGAGAGTACATGGATATGAAGAGCAGAGCAGAGCAGAGCATTGGCAGTCGTCCTTTGGTCACAGTAGTCTACAAACTACAAACACACAGACAGGAGGCAAAGGCAGCAGGCACAAGGCACATATGTCACCATCAAGCAAATGTTTCACTGTCTGTCCTCAGCTGTTGTTGTAGTTGTTGTTGTAGTTGTAGTTGTTGTTGTAGTTGTTGTTGTAGTTGTAGTTGTAGTTGTAGTTGTTGTTGCTGTTGCTGTTGCTTTTGTCGCAGTTGTTACCATTGCGGTTTTTTGGCCGCCGCTGTTGCTGCCATTAAATGTAATTCTCTGTGGTTTTTATGGTTTTTTAAAACATTCAACAACATTTTACGTGGCTGCTATTTATCTTTTATTTCGGCACTCACTTCAGCTGCCACACAATCCCCTCAGCTCCAGTCCCCATCTCAAGTTTTATTTGTAGCTCCTGCTGCTGTTGCTGTTGCTCCTGTCATGTCCCTTGCCGTGTCGCCTCGCACGTTCCACATTTGTTGTTGCTGTTGCTGTTGTTAGTTGTGTGC